ATTACTCTACCTATCTGTCAGTATGTTAGATGGTATTTATTTCTGCATTTAGTCCAATAGCAGCCATTAGTTTAAAATCTGTTGGCACCCTTACAGTCAGAGCTAGAAGTGCTGCTGGCAGGGGGCAGTGTTTAGCTTTGGCATCTGTGAGGCCCTGCCACATGATGGCTGAAATTCCGTTACAGAAGCTGTTACAGAAGTAGTGTTTCATAGGCCTGGATCGGCTCCTCACAGCTGTTCTAACAGCATTTAAATCACCATTTCAGTACCTCTGTGGCTAGCCTGGCTCCATCTCGTGGATGGAACAGAAATCTTGGTGAAAGATGTAAATGCAGCTCATGCTGCAGGAACTAAATTTTTCAGGGCTGTCTGCTAGGGTGACCAGATGTTCCGATTTTATAGGGACAGTCCCGATATTTGGGGCTTTGTCTTGTATAGCAAAAAGAATGTTCTTTTTGCGGATACAGACTAACACGGCTGCTACTCTGAAACCTGTCTTATATAGGTGCCTATCCCCCCCTCCCCTGATTTTTTTTCACCCTTGCTATCTGGTCACCCTACTCTGCTGCCTTTGTGTCTCAGGTATATGCAGGATTTAACATTACTCTGTGATGCCTGTATGCTAAGGGAGCAGGTTAAAGATGAATACCATGCTGCATTGGGTTAACCACTCAGATACCGGCTATATAAAACACTCTTAATCCTCACTGTAAAACCCCAGTGTCCCTGGGTAGCTAATAACTTTTTCCTTCTAAGCTGCTCCTCCTGACCCTTTCTTCCCACATTATCTCATCTCTATGGTCCTGTGCAACCTGTCTAGATTAAAGACAGTTTTGTAAGGGCTGGGGCAGGTGTTGTAGGCTCAGCTGTTCCCTTCTAAATTTAAAAGTACAGGTTATAATAATCTTTTGGTACAAGTCTTAGTGCTATCATTCTTTTTGTGTTGTTCTGTAACCACTTGCTTCCCCCTGCGCTCTGAATTAGGCTACAGCATGGAGGAAAAAACTTATTATCCAAAGTAGAACTCTTACCCTTCTTTAAATGTGGCTTATAAAAATGAGTCTTCACTTCCTATAAGAATTTTGCAAGATCAACTGATCTGATGATCACAGAGGTGTCTGTGGTGGTGCTCAGAGAACCCCTTTTATTTTATAAAGCTGCTCCTGCAGCCCTTTGTCCCTGTATGGCATGAGGCTCTGGGCATTTAATGGATATCAAAGACTGGTCATTGTCCTTGAAATGCGGCAAACACAGTTTGCAACTTTTTTTTCCCATTAGTAGGTAGGGTGCATAAAATTCTAGCTTGGTTCTTGTTCCCTACCTCCTGTGATGATCAGAAGTACAAAACACTGAAAGCAGCATCTCTGGTTGGGTGATAGTGCCTTGTTTCCTGATATAAGCCACCCTTGCCATGATCTTATTGAACAATTGGCATCTCCTCCTCTTCCCCACTGAGTGTACTTGGAGATTAGCAAGTCCTGTATGGGTTGGCCTCTCACTGTGCCATTAGAACTGGCATAGAGTTTGCTGATGATTTTGGATGTGTGGATGTGGGCCATCCAAAGACTTACTGGCCCAGGACACGCTCTCTGCTGAACTATCAAATGGTCACTATTGTAACAATAAACCACATTCAGACTTTCACCAGCAACTGTTGGGCCTAAACTAGTACCTGGTTAGACTTCTTATTTCAGGGCGTTACAAGCAGTAGACTCTGGGAGTATAGAAAAGAACAAGCTACTATTCAGTGGTGCTGCAGAAGGGCAAATGAACTATTACATGTTTGATGTAAAAAGTTCTAGGACTCAAAGAACCTGCAAGTACTCTACATAAAGAACAACCTTATCATTCTGCCATCAGTGTTGATTCAGCCCTTTGTCCTTCCTGGAGTTCCATGCTGTAGGTGGTTTGTGACTTTAATCAAGGACTCATCTATTCCACATGGTTCTGTGGCGGTTTGCTGCGGTATCCTTGCCTCAAATTCCTCCCATGTCCTTCTGTTGTACAGTGTGCTCTGTGCTGATGGGTTACTGTGCTCTATCCCAGAGGTGGTTGCATTTCTGTCTGTGTATGAAGTTTGTGAAGCACATTTGATTGAAAGATCTTGTATAATTAGTGTAAGGAGGAAATTTACAACCTCCTTGATAGTCGAATCAGGATTTCCATGTAGGGAACAACCCCATAGCAAAGTAAGAGGCTTTCAGTACAATAGGGCAGGAGGTGGGGAATCCTAGTGAGCGTATGGCTGTGACTTTTGTACCTGGGATGGTTATGCAAATAGTGGGGTGCTGAAGGGTGGCATGTAAGTACTGTTATCAGGTAGGCTGTATCTGTGCTGATTTTACGACTTGCATGCATGCTCAGCACACCAAGAGTTATTAGCAATGTGCTGCACTTGGCTGGGCTAGAAGGGTCTCTGACCTGCAGAACAATCCAGTTGGAGGGGCTGAGTGGCTGTACCATAAACTGAGATTCAAATGGTCAAAAGTAATGGCCATATCACAACTTCAATCCACAGGTTGGGGGCGGGGGGGAGGAAAGAGTAATTTATGCTGAGTTGTCCTTTGCTGTATGTTCAGTGATGATCAGATCTGTGGTTGATGTTGAAACTGGAGGCATGGCAAATGCACGTGAGGCTAGAACTAACTTGACTGGGGGAGATTAGATCAGTGAGCACTGCAGGTAAGGAGGGAGATTTGGCCCTATTAAGTCTGAAGCTCTGTGCCACAGGAGCGACCATTAGCAGATGCACCTATTTTGGGGTGACTTGATTGTATTCACTTACACAGCAAAGGGGAATAATGCTCTCCACTGCAGCAAATACTAGGGGAAATTCTCTGGCCTGTGTACTGCAGAGGGTCACAGTGGTGCCTTTGTCTTTTCAGCCTGGACTCTTTTAATACCCACCCAGTGTTACTACCTCATATAACCATGCACTTTCTTTTCCCCAGCAATGGGGTGCAGTCAGGACTGAGCTGCTGGAAGGAGTTGTCCAGTGGAGCACAGTTGTAAAAGTTGGACATTTTGGTTTAGGAGTTGGGAGACCTGAGTTCCATTCCCAACTCGGACACTGCCTCTCTGTGTGACCTTGGGCAGGTCACATTGTCTCTTTATGTCTCAGTTCCCCCATCTGTAACATCAGATAAGGAAAGCTCTCTCCCAGCAGTTTTCTGAGTGTGAATGAATTTCTATGAAGCACTCTGCCCTCCTCTGTCCTTCTGCAGGAGGATCACAAAGTGTTGTTGGGTTTGGCATAAAATGGAGTGAGGGAAATGGGTTGAGATGGCCATTGAAGGAGAGGCTTAGCTGTGTAACTGTGAATCTTTTGGGTTTGTGTTGCCGCCATGTGTGGCGTTTGAACAAACTTATCTGGGAAAATGCATATTTCTAAAAGGCTACAGGAACTATGCCAAGAGGCAGGGTGGAGTACGGGTGGGGGCTGGGAAGGAAGGGACACATGCTCGTCTACTTAATAAAACGTTTCTACTTACTAAACAATACTGAGATACTTGTCATGCTGGTATTCAACTGCCAAGATACAATTTCAGGGGCAAAAAATCATTTAGGAAAGGCTCATCTAGTTATTTAAAAAAAACCCAACGCCTTAGAAAGCAGCCACGCTGACACCGCCTTTTATACTGCCAAGACAGATGGGCAGAGTGGAGTATTGAGGTATCAAGGCAAAATGATATATGCTCTGCAGAGATGGGCATTGGAAAATAGATGGCTCTGCTCTGGGACAAAAAAAATAAATCAAGCTCAACCCAGTTTGGCATTGCTAGGTCCCTCAATGGCTATTAGCCAGGATCGGCAGGGATGTAAAACCAGGCTCTAAAGTGTTCCTAGCCTGTGTTGCCAGAAGCTGGGAATGGGTGACAGGGGATGGATTGCTTGATGATTCCCTGTTCTGTTCATTTGCTCTGGGGCACCTGGCATTGGCCACTGTCGGGAAACAGGCTACTGGGCTAGATGGACCATTGGTCTGACCCAGTCTGGCCGTTCTTATGTTGCTGACTAGCAAAGGAAGATGGCATTCAAGAAAACTGAACCTTGCCAACCGTTAACAGAAGGTGCTGGGTTATGCAACTCAGAGTTGAGATTCACACTTGACACCAAGGTCAATGATGCTTTGTTAGTTGGCGACTTCCCTACATGAGCCCAAAGGTTTGCCCATAGGACCTTCCCCCTCTGTCTGGTAAGCAGAACTTTAGACAGTTTAACAAGTGTGTTCCTAGTTTGCTGAACCAGAATGACCCATACATCACTATTTGGATGTTTTCCACACAGCTAGAACTTCTTGAAGCACATGCTGGATTTTCTGAAGTGCTTGTCACCCTGATATGATGGCCCTGACCTGGTTATCTGTACTCTAAGTAGTTTTACCACCTTTATCACTCTGCTATCTGAGCGGAGATGTCCATTCATCTCATAAGCACATGCATATCTTGTGTCACAAATAACATTGCATAAAATCCTCCTGGTATTGCTTTGGAAAGCAGGTAACCTGGCCCAGTCAGTGGCTGCCATTCAAAGTTAACTGGTTCAGCTGTTAGCAGTACCTAGGAACATGAGAGCCTGATGTGCCTCAAACAGGATTTTAAATCCCTTACTGGAATTTGGGGCTTTCAGCTGTAGGTCAGTGGTCTGGACCTAGCCAACCAGAGTCTGTAACTAGTTGTTCTCAGTCCAGTTCCTAAAGGACAACAGCCTACATCACAAACAGACTAGTGTGGCCACAACCAGCTGCCTGCTGACCACTTCTTTAGGAGGCAGAGAGAGGCCACGCAGACAGAATTCTCCCACCAGGGGACTGTTCAGGGCAGGCTTGGGGAAGTTTGCCCTGCTGCTGACCATGCTTTTGCTTCCATTGTAGGTAAATAGCATCCATCTCCAGTGCTGTGGAGCTGGTTCCTAAATCAACCGCTGTTTTTTAATGAAGGGAAGAACACGTCTTTGCTCTGTATCTTACAAGCACATAGAAAGCAGAAGAAATGAAGACATTTGTATTTATTTTATTTATTTTTAATCACTTATATAAAGTACCAACTCTATGGGATCCAGGAGATTGGTTAAAATAAATAAAGGTAACAGTTGGCCCCAGTCCTTGCTGGCTGAGTTTGAGGCTGGAGTGGGGAGCTGCTGAAATCCCTTGAGAAATTGAAGCACTGAGAAACCCTTTGCTGGAGCAGCAGCTGCACTGGGAGGTATTGCTAGAATATAGGATGACTTACAGCTAAGGACTCAAGGCAGGGTGGGGTGAACCCTTTCCAGACTCTAGCATTACCCCCACTCCCATCCCCTGTGTCCAAGGGCCTTTTATTCTCAACACTCTTCTTGATGTGGGGGGCAATGTACGTGCTTCTTGTCAAGCTTTCCCTGCCCCAGAATTACTTGCAAGGTAGATTTAAGCAGGTGATGCCCGGGAGCAAGGTGAAGCTGCTTGGATGGCTCTAAGAGATGAGCTCCAATCCAGGCACAAACCTTCCATTCTTATTTCAGAAAAATAGGGAGGAAGCAAGTAAATTAGCTTGGGCTTCTGCTCTATGGGGCTGCTGAAACCTCAAGCCCTGATTGGTCTGAGCTATAACCAATGGAAGGTGTGGCTGCTGAAAGCATCTATGGTGTTGAAAGCAGCTCCTGATGGCCTCTGCAGGAGAGCAGTGCTGGTTCCTGTGGCTGGAGACATGCACCCAGCAGCAGGTGACTGCTGGAGAGACCATGTATGTTAGCTTAAGAAGTGCTGCCTGGAAGATGTATATGTCTCTCCTTGCTAGTAGTCTCTGCTGAATGGGGATGCCTATGCCTCAGCATCCCGCAAGTGGTGCTTGGCACACTCCCCCTGCTTGTGGCTGTGCTTCTCACAGTGCTTGCTGCAGTTGCCTCGCTTGGATGTGGAGGAAGTGGAGTGCGCAGGCAAGGCAGATACCACTGGCCTCTCCTGGCTGTTGCAGCGATGAACAAGGATGGGCTCCTTGGGGCTGGCCTTGCTCTTCAGGAGGCGCTGAAGCAGTTGCTTGTCTGACCGCTCCTTCCTGAAGTCATCCTCAAAGATCTTAAGCTGCAAGGAAGGCAAAGGAAAAACAAAAATGAGCAGGGAGAGGCAGATGAGCCCAGAGGTGGCTCTGGCCAACTCTGTGCAACTTGAGGCACTAGCTATTGTGCAGCTAAAACCATGAACACTTTTGAACATAGTTTAAACTGAGTCCATGCTGATTCGGGGAGGGAATAATTTCTATCTCCTCTTTTCTGATCCCAACTGGCCAGTACTTTCCAAAGATCAGAATAACAATTCCAGCTATTCAGCCACCTAGCACTTGGCATGGTGATTGTGTACTATATAAATACATAGGCCAGGCCTGACCCCAGCTCATTCCCCTGTAACTGTGTTGGTCCACAAAACTGGGTAACTTGGCAACCAAATCACAGGTGAAATTCAATGTTGATAAATGCAAAGGAATGCACATTGGAAAACATAGTCCAAACTGTACATACAAAATGATGGGGTCTAAATTAGCTGTTACTACTCAAGAAAGAGATCTTGGAGTCATGGAGCAGATGTTTTCAGAAAACTATCCACAATATGCAGCAGAAGTCAATAAAGCTAACAGTGTTAGAAACCATTAGGAAAGGGATAGACAGTAAGATAGAAAGTATCATAATTCCATTATTTAAATCCATAGTACACCAATACCTGGAATATTGTGTACAGTTCTAGTCACCCCATCTCAAAAAAGATATATTAGAAATGGAAAAGGCACAGAGAAGGGCAAGGCAACAAAAATGAATCCAACTATGGAACAGCTTCCATAGGAGGAGAAATTAAAAGGACTGGGACTTTTCAGCTTGGAAAAGAGACAACTAAGGGGGGAATATGATTGAGGTCTATAAAATCAGGAATGGTGTGGAGAAAGTGAATAAGGAAGTGTTATTTACTCCGTCACATAACACAAGAACTGGGGTCACCCACTGAAATTAATAGGTGGCAGGTTTAAAACAAACATAAGGAAGTACTTCTTCACAGTCAATTTGTGGAAGTCGTTGCCAGGGATGTTGTGAAGGCTGAAGGTATAACTGGATTCAGAAAAGAACTAAAGTTCATGGAGGACAGGTCCATCAATGGCTATTAGCCAAGATGGTCAGGAACACAACTCCATGCTCTAGGTGTCCCTAAACCTCTGACTACCTGATGCTGGGACTGGGCGACAGGGAACGGGTCACTTGATAATTGCCCTGTTTATTCCCTTTAAAGCATTTGGCATTGGCTACTGTTGAAAGACAGGATACTGGGCTAGATGGACCACTGGTCTGACCCAGTATGGCTGTTCTTATGTTCTAGATTGCTAGATCATCAGGGATTAGGAAATAATCCCCTTGTAGCATCCGCATCCCTGGTTAGTAAGAATCCTCTGGCTTCAAGAGAGTGTTTCAGGACAAGTGGGACAAGCAGCCTTGTGTCATTAAACTGCATGGAGCCTGGCAGTGCACTGCAGTGATGAACAGTTGGTGCAGACTCGCTAAACCCTGAAGATTGGGGGAGGTTGCAGATGGTAAGAAGAGAGTGGCTGGAATGAGTTTCTTACATCGCTTTCAAAAAGCAACCTTCTTCATTTTTTAAGTAGCCCGGGGCTGAAAGGACACTAGGACTGTGGCTGGTTCCTCCATTTGACTGCTCACAAGGAAAGGGACGTCTTTCTAACTACCAGTTTAGCCTTGTGCTGGGATTGGAAAGTCAAGCAGGGTTCTTCTCTGCACCTGATGTATTTCCTGGAAATATTCAGCTGTAGACTGAGGGCAGAGCATGTCACTTTAGAGGGACCTTAGCTAACAAAGTTGGTAATCCATGAGCCAGACCCGACCCGAGCTCGTTCCCCGGTAGCTGTGTCGGCTCCGCGGAGCCAGCAGTAAAGTTTTGTCATCAAAAGCAGCAGATCTAAGCTCTACAGCACCAATCGCCATAATATCTCCGTGGTGGCTCTAAATACATCAGGAACAGATCCGTTGAGTGGGAAGGTGCTCTTCTATCTTCACCGCACTATAAGAAAATGGGACCTGCTAACACTTGTAACTTGCAAACCAAGAGACAATATGGAGAATCAGATATCATTCAGGTTTCAGAAAGGATTCCCTTGCACATACAGCTACACTAACTGGAGGCAGAAAAACTTGCAAGGTATATCAGGGAGGGTCTTCCCCATTTTCTTATGCTTGAGGCACTGGTCAATGTGAGAGACAGGAGGCTAAATCAGCAGGATCAGTGATCTGATTCAGTATGGCAAGCCCCATGTTCCTTAATCCATTCTGCCGTCATTGAGAAAGCCTCAAATACAGCCTAGTTGCTGGCTGTTGCTTTTCCTTCCCTGCAACTGAGTTGCATTAACAGGCTAACCAGTGCACTCAGGGGACTCACCTGCTCTTGCAGAAGTGCCATCTGCTGCCTCATCTCCTCCTCCTTCTTCCGTAGCTTCTCATTCTCTGCTTTGATTCGCTCCCGGTCTTTGTGTTCCGTCCTGTAATCCGCCTCATAAATTTCTGTCTGTGAAAGCAGGAAGAGATGCCTGTCAGTAGGGGCTTGGAAGCTCTGTCACGGCTGGGTAACCGGACAGTACGCTAGGAAGGGATGATCATTCTACAGTCTTATGCTGATTGTCATGCAAAAGTCATTGCCACCTTTTGGGGACTGGTCATGCTAATTTCTTCCCCTTGCTACTCCAATAATACTACCTCTTTCTTATATAGCCATCTCAAAGCACTTAGGGATCATTATCCCCAATTTACAGATGGGGAAAGTGAAGCAGAGAGACACAGTGACATGCCCAAGGTTACCCAGCAACCCAGTGGCAGAGCTGGGACTAAAACCCAGGTCTCACAAGTCCTGGTCCAGCACGCTAGCAACTAAACAACTCTGTTTGAACTCTAACAAGGTGGTGCTGGAAGAATGCTTCCAGGGTCGCTCCAAGCTGGGAGGATGGGGGATTAAAATGATGCAGCGGGGTGGTGTGAGCTGGTGAAGGAGCAGAGCACAGAGCCAATACTCAGTCCCTCCTGCGAAAGATTGGAGAGGAGTAGTGCACCACTCTTGGATGTTCGCCTGAGACTAGCTCCCTCTCCCACCTGCCTGAGCAAACATTTCAGTGAGGTTCTTTTTCCTCCTCCCCTTTTCCCTCCCCCCAGCAGTCCCTTTCCCCATGAACACCCATCCTTCATGACTGATGCTGAGTTACCTGCAGGGGTCGGCACCACTATGTTGCATGACAGACACTTGACAAAATTACCGTACTTAGTGATGGACATGGGGAGGGGGGCATGACATTGTCATTCAATTTTTTGAAAAATTACCACAGACTTCAACATTTTTACCATGCACACATTGCTGACCCCTGGTTACCTGGCATTTCAAGGCCTCCAGCTGGTCCTTCAGGTCAGTCACCTCTTTCACAGGATCCGAGCTATTATTCACCTGGGTCAAGTGCTTGCACTTCCTGGGCTTATAGGTCTCACCCCCCTGCACTTTCTGACTGGCTTCTTCGTGCTTTTTGGGTGAATTCTCCTTCAGGCTCTTTCTGGGAAGCGGGAACTGGGCATCTACAAATTCCTCCCAGGGCACAGATGCCAGTACTTCGGAGCCCTAAGGAAGGAAAGGCTTAAAGGTCAGCTGTTGGCATCATCCAGGGCATTGGTGACCAGCTTCTTAGAAATGCTAAATGGTCACTTGTACATTGGGCCCTGGGTGTTTCATTCTCTTCCTGGTCACAATACATTAGGATAAGGGACAGTAGTTTGGTCTCTAGGTGACAATAGGGGGAGGGGCTGGGTGGGGCTGTGTTTGACACTGAATCTGTTGCTTATAGCAAAGTCATTCTTGGGTAGCAGAGCCTCACAAGCCACACTCCTATTCCTGTAGCATTGCTGCAGGAGCCAGCAAGACAGGCCAGTTCGGAGTGGCTGCATGTGGCACCATGATATGGAAACAGCTGAGAAGCCCTAAATTAGGTCATGCCCATGGTAGCAGATGGTACCATGCATGAGTCAGCAGGTAAGAAAAGCATGAAGGTAAATTTAAGGTCTCCAGGTGCCCAGCCTAACAAAGGGGTTCTATGCTACCAGAGAAGCTTGCTCCTGAAGACCTGTATTTACTGTCAGTCTCTCCGGGGAGATTTGAATCTCCTCTGCATTTTTCAGTTTGTTTCCGATATAATTTTGGATCATGAGCCGTTCTAACTGGAGGGCAACTGAACTGTTCAAGACCACATCTCTCTGCTACCAGCAACTCCATCTAAGAGCCACCTGAAACAATGGGCTTAGCAAAATAAGGCTATTGTATGATATAGGGAAACAGTTGGACCAGTGGATAGGTGTGGCCTGGAAGTTGGGAGATGTGGATTCTAGTCTCAGTTCTGCCACTGACCTGCTGTGTGACCGTGGGCAAGTCACTGCCCCACTCTGCCTCAGTTTCCCCTCCTGTTTAGAATCTAAACTCTCTTGTGTATGGCCAGAGCTTAGCAGAACAGGGACACAACCTGGGGCCCGTAGATGTTACTCTAATACAAATAACAACAAAATAAGATATCTGCACTGGCTCTCAAGCAGTGTTTGAAAGCTTCAGCATGTCTGTAGCTGAAATAATCTAGTAGAGTTTGGCTGGCCAGTGTGGATGGGACCAATCTATAGTGGAGCCTCGATCTAGCCTCGATTCCTAGCCAGGTTTGAGCACTGTTGTTTTAACACAGTTGGATCCCCATCCATGCTGGCCAGCCAAACTCTGGAGCACATTTGGGTGCAATTCTAGTAGGTGTGGTTATCTGTACTTCAAAGCCAGGATAGATGGAACCGGAGTCCTTCGGAAAGTCAGGGGAAGAAAGAGAAATTATAGGTGCTGACAAGCTGGTGAGGTCACATGATGAGGCATATACATTGTCAATAATTCTCCCACTCTTGTTCTAGCCCCACCCAGAGAATGCTGGTGTAGAGTGGGTGTTCTGATCTCCATGTCTTCTAAACCTGCTCTGAGCACCAGGCCATCCCGTTATAAGAAGACGGGATTGTGGTGGGAGCTGGACTCTTTGTGCTACTGAGAATATTTCTTTGCTTCTTTCATTCTGATTTTTGCATCCCGAAGCTCAGTAATTTCGGCTGAGTCAAACTTGCTTAGTGCGTTGTTGTTAATAGAGTTGGCTACATGCTGCAGCAACTTGCATGGCTCCGGGACATTGTCAAAGCCAGGGCTGTGCATCAGCACTGACCTGGTGTCTTTCACACCTAGCAATATGACAAATGCCAAGCACAGGTGGCCTTTGAGACTACAGCTAGGAGCTGGTCTAAAGAGTGTGGGGTTCCTTGCCCTCCCTGAGTGAAAATGGAGGTGGTGGCTGTTTTCTATGCAATAACAAAGTTGGACTCTTCCAACCCAATGAATCACTTTCAGTTGTGTTTGTAACACTGCAGCTTTGGTACAGTCCCCGTTCTTCAGGGCCGGCTCTAGGCACCAGCAAAACAAGCTGGTGCTTGGGGCGGCACATTTTTAGGGGCGGCATTCTGGCACGGGCCATGCCGCCCCTAAAAATGTGCCCCGGCCGCCCTAACTCACCTCCGCTGCTGCCCCTCGCACACTGCTGCTCACCCTCCCTCTCAGGCTCTCAAACCCAGGAGGAAGGGGGAGATCCCGAGCAGCCGCGGCGCGCGAAAAGCTGTTTCGCGCGCCGCGGGCCGCTGGGGATCTCCCCCTCCCTCCCGGGTTTGAGAGCCTGGGAGGGAGGGGGAGACCCCGAGTGCCCGCGGCGCACGCGCTGCTTCTCCCTCTCCCTTCCTCCCTCCTAGGCTTGAGAGCCTGGGGGGAGGAGGCAGGGCTGGGGATTTGGGGAAGGGGCAGAGTTGAGGTGGGGCCGGGGGGATAAGAAAAAAACGGGGCGGGGGGGAAAACTGTTTTCGCTTGGGGCGGCAAAAATCCTAGAGCCGGCCCTGCCGTTCTTAGACTCCTTTATGGGAGGAGGAGGAGGGTTTACTGTGAACTTACAGCCGAGGTCCTCTTCTCCCTGTCGTGGTGCTGTCTGCCTTCTAGCTGCCTCACGTACTCCTGTAAATGCTGGTTCTTCTTGAGCTCCTGGATGAGGGTTTGTTCATAGTACTCCCTCTTGTTCTGCAATGGGGATGGACACCGTCAGAACAGCATCTAACATTCAAAGGAAGCAGACAGGCCCTGGATGCTACTTGCAGCATCCTAAATTCACATGTGGTAGGAAAGGGGTTTCTGTTCACTGATCTTTCTCCACCCAGCCTTACTGCACCACTTCCTGGAAATCTATGCTAAGAAGGGAGCTGCAGTGTGTCTTTCGCAAGCAGCAAACCTATGTCCTTTACCTCCCCACCTCCCTCACAGTCAGCTAACTCATTGGTGTCTTCGGTGTCACCGAGGGGGTAGTACACTGGACGAGGCTCTAGCGGTGGCCAGCTTCATGACCTTAGGCAAGTTGCTCTGCTTCTCTGTGCCTCAGTTTCCCTAACAAGGAGATAATGATACTGACTTCTTTTGTAAAGTGCTAAATAAAAAGTGTCTTCAGTGGGCTCTGAATCAGGCTCACTGGGCTTTTCTCTGTCCCCGTACAGTTCCTCTAGATGGTATAACTCCCTGATGAATTTGATATTAGAGATGAGGAGAGTAGGTTTGGAAAAGCGAGCTGGGTATTATGTATCCCTTCCTCCTGTCACCAGTATTTTTAGGACTAGGCAAAGGCCCATCAGATTCACTTCTCTTGTCATCTAAGACAGATTTGAATCAGGGCTTTTCCCAGTGCAAGGGAAGTGCAGTAACACAGGGGCTCACCTACCACTGTAGCTCTGACTGCAGGGGAGGCTGGTGCCTCTACCCCGGTGCTTTATTTCTACACCACGTAGTCTCTCTGCATGAACACAGCATGGCACTGCTCTGCTTTGGGGGAGGGGGGGAGTAGGGAAGAGCCCCTGAGGGAGGCAAGAGAATATTGCTACTCAACAGAAAAACTGACCTGCCAAGTAAGACTCGAGGGGAGGAGATTGGCTGACTTGAAGATCTACACCGAGCCACCGTCTCAGGATTTGCTGCCTTAGTCCCTCCCCTGTGCTGGCATGTGCTCTCAATACAAGCCTAGCCCTAGGTGCTCTGCTGCATGCCCAGAAAGTAGCAGGGGCTCCTTTGCTCACCTGTTCGTGCTCAAGCTTCATGGAGAGCCTCTCCGTCTGCTGCTTGAGGATAACCACCTCCTGCTGCAGGGCCCCCATCTTCTGCTGCAGCCCCAGGGTAGTGGTATGGTAAATTTGGTCCCACTCCTGATTTAGCTTCATGAGCTGCAAGAATGGGGCAGAAAAGCCACGGGGTGCGTTTAATTGCCCTTCTGGCCGCACAGGGAGCGAGTGTTCTCTGCGCCAGACTACCCCCAACCGGTTATGCGTGCGCTAGCCCATCACAGGTGAACGTCACTCAGCCATTCTGGGCCGAGTGAGAAATAGCTTCTCCTGCTGGAGCTTCTGGGGAGACGATGGGGACAGAAGGGATTGGGGATAGGACCTGCCCAGGACACTTGTCTTAACAACTCTGCTCTGGCTATGGGCTATTTAATTATTATAGATTCTAGCCCCAGGACACTTCCTAGGAATGTAACAATGGAAGGTCCCGGCCCCAAGGGGCTTCCATGGGAGCAGGACTGAGCCTGGGAGATGTAAGTCTAAGGACTTGTCTTCACTAGAGCATTAGCTCCTGTTGGTGCATGACGCTGGGGAGTCATGGTAGCAAACACGATGGTACCCAGTGTAGACTAGGGCGAGCTGTGCTCAGCATTAATTCTGGGGGTTGTGGTTAAGTTCATGCAATTGTAACCCACACATCTCCTGGGTGTGGTGATCTGTCCCCTCTAGTGGCTCCGAGACCACTTAGAGATTAATGAGTCTGCTACAGCCTTAGCTAAGAGCCATGTGGCTTTTAATTCATGCAGTAGAGGCTCATGCATTTAGCTCCATAGGTCCCAGGTTGGATCCTGCCCGCTGACGACCAGGGTCTGTCAGTGTTACACAATGACCCAGCTGGCAGACAAGATCCAGCAGGATCACAGCCTGATTTGATACAGGGCTCACCCTCTGCCAGTGCTGCTGCCTTGGACTCCGTACCCTAAGTCCAGTTGCACTGTCACCTGGTGCTGACCAGTTAGCTGCATGGTCCCATGGGAGGGAAAAGACTAAAGATGAAGACATGGCTTCTATGGGGATGTAATTGCACCCACTACTGTGATATGCGTGGGGCATGACTTGGAGATCAGAGCACAGCCGGACCCATACAGTGCTACTGGGAAGAGGGGCAGATCTGGAAGGACTCTTAGTGCACGAGGACTGTACACCTGCATGCAGGAGCTATTCTGTCCCCTACCCACCCCCCTCCCCCGCTAGCCAAGGAGATAATGAGGGAGCTGTTCATTGGACTGGAAGGGACCTTCTGGGTCATTGAGTCTGGTCCTCGCTATCAAGGGCAAACCCTGGAAGGACCAACAGTTTCCTTTCGGCTGGCCCTGATTGACATAGCATAGCCCAGTACAGGGCGCTGGAGAGGAGGGGCTGAAGGTTGATCACACTGCAGGGGACAGATGGGGTGTGGATGTGCACCAGCCATGGAGAGGAGGCTCAGAGCAAGCCGGTAGCTTGCATGAGGCGGTGTATGGCCAGGGAGCTGAGGCGGGGGTGCCTGTGCTTTGTTCACCTCCTTGTTGATGCGCCGCAGCTCCGTGTTCTTGTTGAGAAGCAGCAGCTTCTCCTCATCAGCCGATGTCACCGTCATGCTCTCCGAGATGTAGGTGACGATCTCCTCCGAGTCATGCCGATTGGAGATGACAGGCTCACTGAGCACTCGCTGGGTGCCCTCCCTGCCAGCATCACCAAGAGAGGAGGAAAGTCAACGAGGGGGAAAGGAAGGAACGGGCACAACTCCCATTCTTCATTGAGGTGTCTGGCTCCAGACTAGGGGCCCCAGCTGCAGCACCCACTCCTCTCTGGGGCCCTCACCCCAGGGTGCCCCTCCCCACCGACTCCCTGTTCAGGCACTCTGCCAGCACTGTCCTGATGCTCACATCAGCATCCTCTCCAGGGAGTGACATGAGGGTCCCAGCTGATGCTCTGCTCTTCCCCCACAGCAGCACCCAAGAAACACAGCAGGGCTAGATCTGTGCACAGAAAGCTCTCCCCTTACCCGGGTGTCAACATAGGGGGCTGTGACCCAGCCTAGCTTAGCAGGCTCCTCAAAGCCTCCAGCTGGAGAACAAGTTCTCTCTGATGAATTTCCTGTCCACTAGAACACAGTCACATACTGAGGAGGGCTCAGAGTAGTCGGGTTACATTGATCTCACTCAGAAATTGGGGAAGTTCTTGGTAAGTGGCATTTGCATACGTTAGATTTGCATAAACAACTTCATTGAAAAGGGGTTTTGAAGGGGAATTCAGCTAGAGAGAAGTGTGTGTGAGACTGAGACACTATGAGCCTAGGTTTGTTCCTGCAGGCCTCATTCTGCAAGCTACTGAGCCCTCACATCTCCCAGGGCCACCCCTCGGCCCTCGCACACAACAATGGATAGTGTGTCACCAGAAACTGTCCCTTGGAAGGTTTGAGTGAGATCCAACAGGTCACCTCTAATGAGCACGCCCTACCCAGTGTCATCCTGTACAGTAATTCTCAGCGTGTTAACGTCACACTGGGTTTGCAGGTTATCTGATTAAACTATGACTATGTAGATCATTGTTGCTACCACTGTTATATAACTGCAACAAATCTTGTACAAAATGTGACATGTAAGATGTCTATGGAAAGGCTATGGTATGCTGAATATGATTGTGCTATTTGTATGCATGTATCATTTTTGTACCTGAAGTTAGGAATACTATGTACCTGTATTTTTAAGGTGTTTGCTTCTGGGTGTTTAGCCAACAAGGTGTTTAGCCAGCACATTATGAAGGAACTATTCAAGTAGAATGGCCCATTAAAGAACACTTAACTTACAATTGAAGATGCCTATCTACTCTTAATGGACTTTCCTGCTATGACTAAGCCAAGTCATGCATGGACATGTGACTTGCCTATGTGACTCCAAACTTCATCTTTTACCTGTAATTTTCCACAGTAAGAACAATGGGATTCCCTTCCCTTGAGAGAAGCTAGAAAAGACGCTGGAAACATCTCCATCAAACCTCTGGACTATGGACTTATACTAATGGGAGCATTATAATCAAAGGACTGAGGACCTTCCAATGATTTGGAAGCAACCAGAGACTTGTCCAGCCAGTAGTTTATTCCATCAGGGCTACAAGCCTGATACAAGAACTTTGCATTTATTGTATGTATGATTCCTTTAACCAATTTTAACTCTCACCTTTCTTTCTTTTCTTTTCTTTTTATAAATAAACCTTTAGATTTTAAATGCTAAAGGATTGGCAACGGCATCATTTTGGGGTAAGATCTGACTTGTATATTGACCTGGGTGTGTGGCTTGTCCTTTGGGATCAGAACAACTTTTTATCTGATTAAATTGGTTTTAAAGAACCACTCATCTATAAGGCTAGTGTTTTTGGTGGTGATACAAGGACTGGATTACCTAAGGAAACTGCTTTTATGACTCTTGTTAGTAAGTGTGGTGAAACAGAAAGTTGCTGGTTTGGTATATCTCATGGGAGAATAATCATCAGTTTGGGGGGGCTGCCCTATTTTTCGGCAGTTTGTCCTGAATTTGGTATTCTCCGTTGTGATCCACTGAGGCACGGTTACACCCAGCCTACCCGCCCCACAGTCCAGCACAGTGCTGTAGTGAAATGTCCTCTCCCTGACTCCATGTGACTTTCGTAACCTAGACAGCACCCCCGTGCCTTTGCAGTTATGCTATGGGGGTACTGTAAACAACCACAGCTAGAGTGCACCTGACACAGCTGGAGTGTCAGGCTACATTTGGGGGTCAATGGGTGTTGGTGACATTTGAGGTATTGTTCAAATCTCTATTTAGCAGATCTATGGTGTTAAAAAATAAGCCCAGAAGATCAGAAATACACACACACACACACACACACACACACCTTAAGATTTCAAAGGATCCATTTGTAACTCCTTCAGGCTCCTAAGCAGTTTTACTTGTAGTCTTCCAAAAAAACAACCCATCTGCTTATGAGTAAGTAAGTGGTTCTGACCAAGAGGTGTTGTCATGTCTAACAAAGGGTTAAACCTCTTTGTCACTGAGTCCAAATCTTAACAAAGGATCCATGACCAATGCTTCCAGAATAGCTGTCTCCTTTCCCCACGTGTTCCAAAAGCAGAACTAAGAGAGGATCTGTCTGCAATTTTACCTCTGAGGGGGGAGGGGAACGGTCACAAAGTTATGAATCAAAGTCAAATCCCTTCTCAGTGCTAGCAGGGCAGCCCCATAGAGTCTTTACCATGAACTGAGCTAGCTGGGGACCATCAGCAGTGGGAGAAAACTGCCCGGTGGAAATCTCTTTTTTCCACTTTATTTCGTTATTTCAGCTCCCCTTGATGATTGAAACTGGAACTGCTTAGGACAACAACAGCAGCTGCCTCGTGGGACTCAAACAGCCCCTTGCAGTTCGCTGGAAGGGGGAATTGGAGCAGAAGTACAAATATTAACAAATATTAACATATATTTGCATTTTGTGGAAACACCGAGAGGTTTGAATTTCAGTAATGGTCCAGGGCTTGAGATCATGGCACTAAAACCAGGTCTGAGGGGTAAAGCAAGATGGGAATCAGAAGAATTTTATGGGCTGCTATCTCTTGGCCTGCCAGGTCTGGAAATGATTGCTTTGTACCAGCAGGGAGATGGAAATCCCAAAAGCTTGCCAGGCAGATTCACCAATCTTTCCCAGTCCTTCTGGTTTATGTATTGTGGGACCTTGCAACCTTCATTTGTCCCTTGGACTAGCTGGCCAAATATAGCAAATGCTAGACCATATTCCAGTGTAATCTTCAATTACTGGTGTCCCAGGCCTTTTGGGATTCAGTCAGATGTTGATGGAAGAATGCCTTAAATTGCATACAGTGTTTTCATTAGGCACAGCTTCCCCGATGGTCACTAATGATGGACGATAATGGACGCTCTCTCAAATGAAACACACCTACTAATATCCAGCACAGTGTGTCATCCCAATTTGCCCTTTGGGTCCCAAAAGGTGCAAAGTGATCTGATGAGTGCCCAGACCTTAGGGCACTGTCAAGCTTGTGTGTCTTCCCTGGGAGAAAACCCAGCTCTTGCATTTCTAAGATATGCGTTGTGCCTAGCAAAACTGTCCTAGCACCAAAGCAGTATTTCCACCATTGATGCCCATTCTCCAGACAGGAATCTCTACTGTAGGCTATTGCTTTTGCCTTCCAGAGATAGGTGCATTGTGGGCTTGCCAAAGGCAATAGCCCATTGGTGCAGTGAGCCCATGGCTCTACTAATGTTTCTGGGCTTGTTTCTCACATCTACTGATACAAATCCTCCCTCCTTTGCTTGCAGCCCAGTGAAACCTACATTGCTTCCTTGACCTAGGCACAATGCCATGCATACAGACCAGGCATGTTGCAAGTAGACAGCGCCGTGACTCTTTCCCTTCATGCCCCTGGGATGGGGATGTCTTGAAATGTCTGTGTTCCATTCCCAACTACCCTTCAAACCAGCCCAGTCTTACCCAGGTATCTTCACTGGAATAAATCAGGAGCATGGATGAAGTCTCTACCACTCCAGGTACCAAATGCACTTGTGTATTGGATGCCAGATCAATCCACGTAACCAAGCTCCTGGGCATGAAACCCATTTTACCCATCACTGAGTTTCTGCATTTGCTACGAGGCCACCTGGCTGGACAGGATAGGCTATGTGTGTGTTGCACTTAAACACAGATGTGCAGGCTCAATTCCGGGAACTTTACCACCATGTTTATGTTGGGTCTCAGGTCCAAAGTCTCACTGCCCAATTCTTCAGTCAGGGTTTTCTCCTGGGTCCTTTAGTGGGATCGACCATAGGGATGTTTTGCCGGATCTCTCTGAAGCATTTCTGGTACTGTCTTTTCCATCGAGGAGGTGCTCAGTGCAAGCAGCATTTGTCTCATACACTTGGCAACTCTTAGAAATGAGCCAGGCCTTTTACTTCTTTCCAGGATGGTCCTTACAACCACACACCAGCCAGTCATTAGAGCCTGGGTCTAGGGTTACCATACGTCCGGATTTTCCCGGACATGTCTGGCTTTTTGGGTCTCAAATCCCTGTCCGGGAGGAAATCCCAAAAAAGCTGGACATGTCCGGGAAAATAGGGAGG